TTACAGTGTAGGCGTTATTCTCCTGAGAGCTAGACGAGCCATGAGAGCTACTGCTGCATTGTCTGCATTGTTCTCCTCAATGAAACTAATGGTGGAGTTTATCACCAGCAATGTAATAATCCCAACAAAGTCCTGCCAATCTGGGGGCTTTCCCTGCAAAATTGAAGATATATTCCAATGAGTCCAAACTAACAGTTTAAATAAACAACAAATTCAACTAAATTTGAACAAGAGCCTCACCCCTCCATTTGCAAGTGCGATTGCCATAATTGATGCAGCTTCCATCACCCACGAGAGAAGATTCCACATGAAGCCCAAGAATTTCAGGAATTTGCTATCTTGGGGCATAACAATTATTGCAACAGTTAAATTGACACATGGATCAATGATAAGTGGCTACTGATTTCCAGAGCAAATAAGCAATTCAAAGGGTAAATTGCATACACACACAAAAGGAAAGAGAGAAGTAAGACCATCTGATTTGGAACCAAAGACGCAGCCATAACAAATGGCAAAGATGAAAGAAATTAGTCTCCAAAAAAGAAGGTAAACTATAAAGAAACATAACTCCACAATATGAGCTGAACACTAAATCTTAAAAACCAGAGACATAAAAGCAGAAAGAATGAAACTCAACATCAAAATTACAGTTCAAAAGATTAATAAACTATAAATGATGAGGAAAACTAAAGTATCTGAATAAACGCCGTTTGGCACCTTCTTCTCCTCAAGCTTGTTGTGCCCAAAAATGGCCAACCTCTCTTGGGCTGCCTGACTAGTGAGACCCTCCTTTGTACATCTCAGATTCTCAAACACCTCCTCAATGGGTATATTTTCCTGCAGCCAACCAAACCAGAATTGCCAAAAAAATATCAAAACCAAACGGGATTAAAGCCACCCAGAGCACGAAATCGAGATAAAAAACGAAGCTTTGCAGATCCATTACCAAATCAACAGTTTCCTTCAGCACAGCAAAAAAAAAGAAACCCTACCCAGAAATCGTACACCCCTCACAACCACATCCCCCGCATCACCGCCCCCCAACCCCAAACCCAACCGAATGCACGACCACCACCCCTGTGAAAACCCAAAAAAAAAAAAAAAAAAAAAAAAAAAAAAAAAAAAAAAAACAGAACTACCCAGACGAACAAGACAACAAACGAAATCCCACCCCAAACCCCCTACTGAACACTATCAAACCCACAAACCATCGGAAAAAACCCACGAAACAAACAACAAAAAGAGGAAAAAAAGGTACAAGAAATTGATTCAAAAAATACCTGAACTGGAGGTGGAAGATATACCACGAAGTCGCTTGGAATGCCTCCTGCTGGAACCAACCATGAACACCGCCGGGAAAATGTGAGACGCGAATGGACGGCGACCGGATTGGGAGAAGACGGATGATTCCAGAAGTCGCGTGACAAAGCAAGGGGAGAGAGAAAACCTAAATACCTATTATGAATGCTTTAAACCCAAGATAACCGGCGAAATAAGTGAGATGTAATATTAATGACAAATACAAAATACAAAAACACCCCTACCAATCTAATACTAAGCGCCCACATGGTTTAAAATGCCACATCATCAGCACCGTTAATATCTCAAAATCAATGGTCAGGGAGAGTGCTCACGGGCTCGGCTAAGTAGAGGGTGTGCACCGGATTCAAAATCTATATATATATATATATATTTATTTATTTATTTATTTATTTATTTATTTATTTATTTTTAATTATAATAATTATTTCATGTATGTTAAGTTTCACATCACTTTTATAATAAAGAATAGTTTTCAATAGTTCGGGTTGTCAGGCTAGCCCTATCGAGCCACCGGGCTAATCGGTTTCGGGCTCGTCGGGTTAATGTGTTTTATCGGGCTAGCTCATTCGGGCCAGAGCCCCGTCGGTTTCGGTTTTATCGATTGGCCCATCGGGTTCAGGCTAAATTGACATCCCTACATATGATGGATGGATGGTTAGCATTATAATATTTGCACATAAATGGACAAACATTGACAATGAGAATCATTTTCCCTCTCAGCAACCCGGCCGGCCTTCTGATCTCTCAACAGCTCTGCTAATGCTTCTAATGCACCATCTTGTTCTGCAATTCTTTTTTTTATAGTCATGAACGGCACAGAGGTTGAATAATGAATCGGCCCAGCCTCAGCTATATATATATATATATATATATATATATATATATATATATATATATATATATATAAAAGGTTAGTTTTCCTTTTCAATTTTTGCTAATTAACCTAATCTAGCAACAATAGTTTTTTCATTCTGCGTCCCATCTCCTAGTTCTTTTATTAGATGAGTTGACGTGGCTTTATTAGGTTCAAACGTCACCTTATCATGTCACACTGCTTCAAAACCTTCACTGTACTGCATGACTCTCCAGGCTCTGGCAGATCGTATGGAATTTTTTTAGGCTTAGCAGGGTAGCACACCACTGCATAATCAAATTCTTAAGAACCCTATTAATTGCAAAAGCCAAGTACGAATTGAACAAGTCTTGGACAGTTACAGTCACCCTCCTCCATCCACCCCAAAATAATAAAAATCAACAAATATGGAATCAACTCGACCACAACGTTGAACTTCGATGAGGTGTTTGGGCAGAGGCGAAAGGTTATTTGCTAAACCTTAACCGAGTCGGACGAAGTAAGGTTATTTAAGAGATAAGTTGATGATAATAAGGGGTAACAAATGAAAATCATTTAAAAACATTTAAATACTAATAATATCAATCATTCATTTGAATAAATTATTAAACCAACATTTTTTTGTCAGGCCTTGGCTCAAAATTTGACTTTAAGTTTTTTGGTTAGTGTGATGCCATTGGCGCTCGATCCCACAATCTCTCATACAAAGGAATAATTTGATTTCACTAGACCACAAGGTCCTTAGCATCATATTTAGTCATTAATTATTAATTATATTTAGTCGTATTTATTCTCATGACATTGTTGATGTTATCATATTGGATAAAGTGTCATCCTGCACTATGACTATAATGGATTGTTCATGTCGCACTTTGATCTTTCATAATTTTGATTCGATTCACAAACCATTACATTTTTTTCGCCTATAATTTTACAAGTTTTCTTCAAGTTATGGGTAATAATATTCTGATGTGGAGATGTTTTGTTATTGACGTGTTTAAGTAGGTATTAAAAGTATGACATGGCATGCAACCATTTCATCATTTCGCTTAAATAAACAAAAGCCCTAATTCGAAATCCTTAATTGTAAGAAGAAGGGTAAATCGGATGACCTCCCAAAATCCCCCAAACCCAAAACCTAAATCCCTAATTTGACTAGCGTCAACAACATTCCAACATCCCAGACCGTAGTTATAAATCCTTAAACTAACAGACTATGACAGTGGACGAAAGGAAAATCGACTGGAAGGTCGATGGATAGTGTACGAAGAAGACGACAAAGGTATGTAGAACAATATATGTGAATAGTGTAGGGTCGGATTTTGTTATACTATTGTCGTAATGGATATAGTATAGTGTAGGGTCGTGGTAGGGTCCTGTTGTGAATAATATATGTCAATATACTGTGGTGTGGTCCTGCTACGATGCTTATATTTTTATGATTTTGATGTAGTGCGGTCCTGCTATGCTGCATTTTTTTTTTTTTGAATATGTGTGTATAAAGTGTGGTCCTACACTCCTGTTAGGCTTATTTTTGACAGGTGCTATGTATAATGTGATAAAGTGTGGTGTTGCTTTTATGTTTAAAAAGTGCTTTGAATTTTTGTTTTTGTTAGGATGAATGAATTTGTGGAATTAATAATCATCATGGTGGTAATTTCGTGCAAAGTATAGGTTCAAATATTTGAATGTTGAGTCGAGATAGTGCGTGTGGACCCGGACATAATATGTTATCCCCATTTAGTCAATTATATAGCAGACCAAAGATATGGGAAAATAACGTCACTTATTTATAAATTGACATCTGAACCCTTTACATTTTTAAAACTATTACATAATGATGGTAGTAGTCTACACTTAGCTCATATTGCTCATCAAAATAAAATGTGTGACATTTATGTTGAACATGGGGTAGATGAGCCTGACGTGGTTGGTTTATGTTTACTTGGACTTGAAGGGGGTGAAGTTAAAGCTGAGGATTAGGGGAATGAAGTTGAGGCAGAATTTGGGGGTAAGCATGAGGGGACTGAAGTTGATGCAAAATTAGGAGGTGAGCATGGCTAAAGCTGAGGTAGAATTAGGGGGGTGAGCAAGAGGGGATTGAAGCTGAGGCAGAATTAAGGGGTGAGCAAGGGGGGAGTGAAGTTGAGGCAGATTCTGGATTTGTGAGTGACAATAACAATGACCATGGGACTGAGTTTACTAGTGTCAGTGACCATTAACTAGTGGCAGTGACCATGAGATTGAGTTAAGCAGTGGTAGTGAGCAAAATACAAATAGAAATGAAGATAAGGACAAGAGAGAAAAAAAAAAGAGTAGATGATGAACCTATATATACTGTAACACCCCCAAATTCTAGACATAATTTCAGGCATTAAACTTAACAAAGATATGTAAATAAAGTCTAAAACTGGAATTAAACTGCGGAAGCAATACTTAAGTTAAACATTGGATGCTATGCCACATTTAGGTTAACCCAACCCAAATGCACAGGCTAGTCTAATCCTCAAACATATCAATCATTCTAATCCAGAATACTAGTCATAATCTGTCAATACAACACAAGTCTAACATAAGGCTCACATGTCATCAAACTAAGCAAAAGATAGAAAGTCTAGCTATAAGATATGAGCTAAACTTGAACTACCGCGCTCTCAAAGCAGGACTCCATACCTGAAATCATATTTAAAAGGATTAGCTAAAAATATATAAGTATACTTTTCTTATTCAAAATAGGTTTTGAAACTTGGGAATACATATATATCTCTACTAAACTCTAGTTCAATAAAACAGAGGAGATAATAGTAGTTCGGAATCAACTCATTGGAGATCAATAAAGACATGACTCGGTTCATCAACCAAACTCAACAATAAGATGAGATAGAACATGATCATCATAGGATAAGGATTTCAATAACTGAATTCAACCAATGGAATAACAATATCAAGATATGAACAGCAAGAAAGGTAGATCAACTCACATAATCCAAGTATAGTTCAATTCTCATCATAATCCCACAATCAATATCAACAACAATTCTCAAGTCCTCACAAGGACGACAATATCAAGTCAAAGCATTGGAGAATCAATCTCAATAAGTTATTATCTCGTGGAATCAGTGGAGGGCTTCCAGACAGTACCAATGTCACCAAGTGACCAATCAATAAATGTCCAATGAAAACAGATCTAGTGTAACACCCCTGATTTCCATGTCATTTTAAACTTAAATAAGCAAGATAATCTAACCACAATATAAGCAAAACACAGCGGAAGTCTAACTATATAAAACTGGAAATGAAGAGTGTTATGCCACGTCCACACTAAAGTGAACGCACAGGCAAAAACATCATCAACATCAACAGTCTAAAAGTCTAGCAAGAGACAAGGTCAAACCAACAACAATCTGTTGTTCATCATAAGAGGCACACAGGCCCATAACAACACTAACAGAGTCCTGGGGAACTACACTAGCCATCTCTATATCTCGCTCGCCACTACTCGGGACCTGAAAAGCACATAAATAAATGGGACGACGCCCGGTCAGCGAATAATGCTGGTAATCCACCAATACATGTTAAGTATCATACATAGATAGTATAAACGAAATCATTTTCGAAACGGAATACTGTATATATAAGTTCAAAGCCTGTAACACCCCAGATTTTCAAGACTTTTAAAACTTATAAAGTAAAGGTGAAATCTCATTAAATCCCAAAGCATAATACAAGAGTACGGGGTGCTATGCCACACCTAAGCTAGAGAACTCAGGTGCACAGGCTAACTAACTAATATCCTCAATAATGTAAACGCATAAACATGGCACGCAGGCCGAAAGGGAAACTATCTACTTCTACGCTCCAGTGACTTACTCTTCTGTGCCTGAAAGCCAAATATATCTGTTCAGCGAGAGATGCTGGTAACCCACTCCAACGCGTTGAAATACAATACATACGTATATATATATACATATATACATATATATATATATGTATATATATATATATATGTATATATATATATATGTATATATATATATATATATATATATATATATATATATACATACATAGATATACGAAAAGTCATTTTGAAGCATGAAGATATATTCTAAGGGACTCTAGCTTTCAAATCAGGGGACCGACTCGACAAATAGGGGTACACACAATCTACAGTCATAACCAGCATATACAATTCTCACATAGGAAACAGTCATAGATAAGCACAACCAATAATCACAATTAAGCGTTTCTAGCAAGAGCCCTATAACAGTCACCACATCAATCCTTCTTATCTCATCATATAGCACACTTTGTTGGCGCCACAGGACCAATCGCATGCCCATACATGAGGGTCAGCGCATATAGCTCTGACACGGCCCCGCAGCACCCTGCCCCGTCTCACACTACGGAGGGGTCGATCGCAACCGACCGATGAGCCGCAGCTCTATATAATATTTATATACCTGACCGGTCTTTACCAGCCTGGTTAACAGTTGGGATGGTTCTCAACCCATTCAACTGCCCGTATAGTGGACCTTTGTCCTATATAATATAATATTTATATACCTGACCGGTCTCTACCAGCCTGGTTAACAGTTGGGATGGTTCTCAACCCATTCAACTGCCCGTATAGTGGACCTTAGTCCTATATAATATTTATATACCTGACCGGTCTCTACCAGCCTGGTTAACAGCCGGTATGGTTCTCAGCCCACCCGACTGCCCGTATAGCCCGATTGATCTCAACCAAATCGGGGTAACATGCACACATAACACATAGCAAGCACATGCAACCCACATTAACACATTGGGAAGGGGGAGAAAACGTATAACAAAACCTATGCGTGATCCTTCATATTCTAAGAATAGTCCTAAGGGGTTCATACTTCTTTCACCTAGGTCAACGGGATACCAATTCAACTAGCATGCAATATATAAGACTCATACGACCTACG